TATTCGGAAATGACTTTTTATTCAAGGGAGACAGAAAAATCATATCGTATAACATGAGGGTAAAGTATATTCTATTCTTCATTTTCCTGCACATTGTACGTATTACTTCTTATCAGCCTACTTTTCGTCCTAGACGAAGTTTTATTCATAGTGTGATATAAGTCACTCCATAAATTATTCTCTAAGTTGGATTTCCGAAAATATATTCAGCACACATGACATCGAGTGATCGAGTACAGTAGTTTAGAGGTTTCCACCATTTCTCAATCATGCTCAGCTCATTCAGCTCATAGATAAGCTACTGCTCAGCTTGAAATCAGAATTCATTCAGTCAATTCAGTCAACCGTGGTATACAGTCTAAGAACAGTATCTTTTGCTGAAATATATTAAGCTTTCAATACACTTTATATGTTCCTTATCTCGTAAAGATTATGCTTGAGTAGTAAACTCTGAAACTAGAGGATTGTTTATCTATATCTTGGTATAGTTGAATCAGGAATTCCATATATGGAAATCACGTATGATACGCCAGTGACCTCAATATAACCTAAAAAACAACTAATGTCAAAAATCTAGTGTTTATCCCCAGAATTGAATAAGGATGGAACTATATAACTGTTTCACAAACGCTTTAGAGTGAGAGGAGACGAGGATCTGTCCGTACCCTGTTAAGATGACTTTAACGTCAATTTCCATCAAGGGACCCTAGTTAGTACCTTGTCAAAAATTCAGTAGATTTCACAAGATATATTCCGAAGAAATATGATGAAATGAACCTAATACGTCGAAACATTATGTACTTTCAGTAAACACAGAAGTAACCTATTCCCAACAAAATATATAGGAACAAACAAAACGAACATTCTCATACAAAAATGATCATATTACTTATTATCAATTCAAAAATACTCACAAATAACACAGAATACAATTAAATAGGAACACATAAAATTTGAGTAGATATATACAGGGTGAGTCATTAGGAACTGTCCATACTCCTACCAGTATATACAGTTCGTCATGACTCACTCTGTATAAAACAGGAACGGATAGTAAAGATGAATAACTAAAATACAAAATAAATGAATAAATTAAACCTAAGAAACAAAACTGTGGGTATATGAAAAATTGAATCAGATAATGAAGTATTGCCCTTTTTTAGTTTATAGATATCACATCCTAATCAACATATTATTAGTACTTATATGTGAATTTATTACTTATTCCGTTAAATAGTTCGAAAAATGTTTGCGGACGAAAAGTTGATGACAGCGGACGAAAAGTACTTGACTTCCTAAATAGTCGGTTTTTCGTTCGGAAATCATAACGTAAAATGTGATTTTTCGTAGAGGTCGACAAAAATATAATTATTGAAAAGTTTTCATGCAGAAGTGTCTTGATTTTCCTTTAAAAACCATACATGTCGTACTGAAATTTATATTTTTGTAAAAATGTACAGATGAGTCAGTTTTTTGTACCAGTATACCAACACGTTGTTAGATATACTATTTCAAGATGAAAATCCTATATGAACAAATAATGAATGAGAGCCTCCGATATACAGGTAGTGTGATATTTTTATATACACAGGTGGATCAAAAATGTGTACCGAGCTTGCCGCAGGTGATAGTAAATTGAACAATAAGTATAGTTTGATGAATAATGGCCCAAATTGTATATTGCGGGAGATATATATTCTTCAAAAGTTGATAGAATTGAAATAATTTTTCTGCATAATTTCTAAATCGTAGAAGCCACCAGATTAAAATTTCCTGCATAAACGTATGTTGATAGAATGCATTCTCCTGAAACACTTCTACATCTCTGATACTGTCATAAAGAGGGGTTGCAGAGGGTGGGTCATTGGTGAAAAATTAAAGCATTTGGTAGCGCGGAGAAAGTCACATGAAACAGTGCTCTCATCAACATACAAAAACTGTAAACGTTTTTGAGATATTCGAGTTTTAGTTGTCTCATGATATCAGCAGATTAATTCATCGGAGATGATATTTTAGAAGGCCATGATCAATTTTGTTCTTATTTCGAACGTTTACGACATGAACATTGCTATTGTGGATTTCTTAGTTAAGTTTTCTATCTTAATAATATCATAACTACGATTTTCGCCGAGATGTTTTCCGCTCGGCGCGTTCCAAATTCTAGAACAATTTTGAGGATTGTGCGAAGATTTCGTGAAATATAATGTTCCAAACCGGGAAATAGAAATGGTGTCCGACAAAGAAGTTCGAGGCCTCCCCGCTACGCGTCGGTAATCAAATTTCACACGCCGGAGAAAATTGATACCTTTTCTCCCTTGATATAAAATAAGCTATTACATGCCATTGGGACATATCATCTCGTTATCAAATGACGGTCGAAATTCGCAACCGGCTCTCCCACTATATATTGTATTTTTTATTCAATCAATAGTTAATTCTTGATGAATAAATAACTGTGAGCTATTAGTTATATGAGAATTGAAAAAAACATTGATTGTCCCTATGCCCAAATGATATTCAATAATATACAGTGTGTGCGATTTCAACCCGCAACACCCTCCTAATTCGGAACCCGTCGACCGATTTTCAGAAACAAAAATTCTATAATATGCTACTCAACGAGCTCTATTCGAAAATTTGGACAAATTTGGAATATTCAAAATATTCAAAATCTCATATAGGGTGATAGTTATTCAATGGCATTGATTTGTCGATTCACCCTGTATCAAAATTTGAGGAGTTGGTATAACCGGTGAAGTAGTTATTCAATAGTGTGGAACACATCGAATACATAAATACGTAGTTTCATCACTGTAACTTCTACAGGAAGATCTCTCTAGATCAACCAAAAATCAATAAAGCTGAAGTTGAGATTCACCATTCTGAAAACCGTACTTCACACACTGCACCACACACGTCACTCTGAGAATCGTCTTGTTTGATAAAGAGCTGTCGAATATGACATGAATAGAATTACAGACAAATACTCTCTAAAGACTGTTAGGACATATACTGATATCGATGGATATATCGTAGAACTCGTGATGCTGATCGGATGTCCCAATTATCAACGTTCTAAATTCAACAGTTTGGATTATACAGGGTGCTGAAGTTGACTTTTTCAAAATTTCGAAATGCCATTGTGAAGTTTCCCTTTTGAGTACCAAATACCACCCTGTATAATTCAGGCATTTGCATAAAATGTTGTCATCACGAATTATCAACTTCCTCACCAAGTTTTACGGGATTCCAGTCATTCGGATAAGCATATATCATCAGGACAGGTGCGGTTTCATGGAAACTTGAACATCTTGTGTGTGAAATGTAATTATCATGAATCGATGTTGATATTAGTATACTACAAAATGTCCAAAAATGAATTGATTTCAACCGCTCACTTTTTCGGAAATAATTGAATCATTTGCTATTTTGGGACCAACTCTGTATATCGTGAGTACGTGCAGATATCATTGAACTCTATAGTGGATTTTCACCGGCCACATGGACAAACAAAACGTAGTCGATTTGATTTTGGTATTCATAAAGGAAACTTCACAATGGCCATTCGAAATTTTGAAAAAGTCAACTTCAGCACCCTGTATAATCCAAACTATTGAATTTAGAGCGTTGATAATTGGGACATCTGATCAGCATCACGAGTTCTACGATATATCCAAAATTCGAGAAAATTCACCGAAAGCCAATTTTCCCCCTATTGCGGTGCGGGGTCCTTTGAGATGACAATGAAAATTTTCATGTATAGAAAATATATTCTCCCGGATTAGTCACCATTATCTATATTCACTAGAAAAGAGTTATGGATCATAATAATGAAGATTTCGATTCCAATTTTATTAATTATTGGTTGACCCAGAGAGATCTTTCTGTAGAAGTTACAGCGATGACACTTCGTACCTACAGAGTGACCCATTTGAAAGCGGGCCACCCCTGTATCTCACGTAATCGTTGGGTAAGGATCATGAAATTTGCTGGAACGAGAGATATACCAAAAATGCACTCTATAACCAAGTGGGGTCATCTTCAGTGATATACACTGCTCGCCAACAGCCATGGAACCACCCCAATTTCCTGAAAATGATATTAGGAATCAAAATAGGTTGAAAATCACTTCGGATTCGGAATCAGGACGCCCAATTCACTAACTATTCATATTTTTCCTTGAAAATTTTCAGTTCTGAAACATTACATTTTGTCGCACTTTTCATGGAAGCGCACCCCCGTACCTCACGTAATTATTGTGGTAGGGTTCAAAAATTTGCAGGAGGTACGGAAAGTCCAAAGATGAAGTCAATTACGTGAGATACGGGGGTGCTTCCGTGAAAAGTGCGACAAAATTTAATTTTTCAGAACTGAAAATTTTCAAGAAAAAATATGACCCCACTTGGTCATAGAGTGCATTTTTGGTATATCTCTCGCTCCAGCAAATTTCATGATCCTTACCCAACGATTACGTGAGATACAGGGGTGGCCCGCTTTCAAATGGGTCACTCTGTATGTATTCGATGTCTACCTCTATTGAATAACTATTTCACTGGTTATATCGAATCCTCAGATCTTGATACAGGGTGAATCGAAAAATCAAAAATATCAAAATTCGCCATTGAATTACTAACACCCTATATGATATTTTGCGTTCAAATTCCGTATTGGGGTATTTCAGCTATACCTGAATCGAATAGGCTATTCACTATTTCGAAAAAAATTAATTGCTGCTCGTTTTTGAAATCTTGACCCTTTCAACAAACAAAAGTAGGCCTTGAAAATCTGAATATTTCAAATTTGTCCACATTTTCGAATAGAGCTCGTTGAGTGCTATATTATGGAAATCGCACACACTGTAAGTAGCTCGATTGATGTAACTCTTCATTTATTAAATTTTAGGATGGAATGAAAATTGCGACCATTGTATTTATTCGAATATTTTGGTAATAACACCTCAAATCGATATCAATGAATTAAATAGGCACTATTTTTTACAGGAACAAAAGAATCAGCCAGAAGTAGAAGAGTTATTTTTGAAAGTTGAGAAGGAAAATAAATTACTTCGGCCAAAAAAGGAGAGGGATTCTTTTCCGTTGAGTCTGCTGCATAATGACGAATATAAACAGGTAAATGAATTTTGTTAAGAATTCTGTTTTCTTTGATGGATGTTGAAATTATACCAGGTCTCTTCTTTTGGAATAAATCACTATTATATTCGTGGAACATCATTCGCACCTAGGGGGGATAGGGAAAGACTCTGTACCTGGATATTGGAATTTTTACTTGAACTTGTTGGAAATACTTTGGAGGTTCCAAAGTTGGCCGTTCTATAAACAATAAGCGCATTTTGATAGATAGTTGTAGACAAAAGGAAGCGTTGACTGAGCTTGTCAGGAACGTCTGACTGGTACCGCTATATGGAATGAAAACCGATATTTTTGAAGAAAGAATAGTTTTTCTAAACCTAAGTTTTTAAGTCTTCCATTTTAATACCAGAATAACCTTTTGAATTGAAATTTCTATCACTGACACAAACATAGGTATATGCAATACTTTAAGTTCCTAGGAGCTAAAGTTGAAGTGAAAACGATGTACTAGGTCATCAAGAATAATAGTAGATTGTTTCATTAGGATCAAAAGTGACACTTTGTTTGACAAGCGAATTTTGCATTTGCGAGGCGGAGCGTTTAGCGAAGCCGAGCGATAGCAAAATTTGCGAGTCGAACAAAGTCACTTTTGATCCGAATGAAACATGCTATTTTTTCTGCAACCGAAACAATTAACTCAAATAAACATGTGAAGTAACCACGAATGCCGTGCCATATGTATGCAATGCAACAAATATTGACAAATATTCCATGTGGTGAGAATATTCTACCTGCATTAACAGCAGGTTAGGTTTTCAAGGATGTTCGAATTGTAGTTTCAATATAAATACAACCACAGAGTGACATATTTGTGTATGGACCAGGTGCTCTAATGGCAAATACCGCGCCAGTGCCAGTGAGCATATCAACAATGATAATAGTGATTATTTATTCCTCTCCATACTACACTGTCTCTGACTTGATAATCAAATGAAGCTAAACAATATCGTTGTTTGAGACAAAAAAAAAACTATTGCTTGCCGTGATTATTCAAAAACAAGTTATCCATCCCGAGAATATCGAATGAAATACAGATCAAGCAAGTATTTGAATCTTGAAGGCTTCCCTGATCAAAACAAAAATACTTAACTGAAATGTTTATAATTCAGATACTAAACTATAATAAGGTGTATATCTCCAGCATGGGTATATGAAATGCCAAATCTGCTGAAATCGGAAACAAATCAGGTATGCGTCTCAACCCAAATAACCAACCGTCACAATGTTGTTTATCATTAATGACGTCCAGTAGATCCTTTTTAGTTCCTAGGAGCTAAAGTTCAACTTTAGCTCCTAGGAACCAAAATTCAACTTTAGCTCCTAGGAACTAAATATGTTGCCTAGCAACATACCTATTTTTGTGTCAGTAATAGAAACGTCAATTTAAGAGCTAATTTTGGTATCAAAATGGACGACTTTTGTGTCGGTTGCAGAAAAACAACATTGTTATGGTTGGTTATTTGGGTTGGGACGCATACCTGACTTGTTTCCGATTTTGGCAGATTTCACACTTCATACCCTCGGCTTCGCTAGACGCTTCGCCTCGCGAATGCAAAATTCGCTTGTCAAATAAAGTGTCACTGTTGATCCTGATGAAACTATCTACTATTTTCTCCAACCGGCAGAGAAAGTGGCATTTTCATGACACTTAACTGGCACCAAATGTGTACGTTCTTTGCCTAAGCAGAAAAAGTTTGTTGCTATGCAACGTTCTGAGTGATTTGAATGAAATTGGTGATCAAAATTGACACTGTTATTGGATGAACACAAAATGATGGAGTTTTCAATGAAAAATAAAAAAAAAAATAGGTTTTATAACATTTGGAGATAAAAATATATGTTTCACATGGCAGCAAAGTAGACTTTGACTGCCATGGCTGAATTCCTCGCCTCGGTATTCTCGGCTATGAACTATCAGCCTTAGCAATCAATCTACTACTCTGCTGCTCTGCTTTTCTTTGTTGTAGAATTCAACAAAACAATTTTCAGACTGAGCAGCAAAACAGGTCACAGAAAACAGAGATCTACCATAACGAGATAGTCTTTTTGATGAAGTGATAGAATCAAGTATTTTTCGCGTTCTTGGAACATCATTTCATAATATTTCCTATACCAAGGCTGAAAGTATATAGTCTTCAGATTCAGTTTCCAGATATTTCAGATATTCACAGTTGATAGGGCTTCTCAATCTGAGAATTCCAAAAAAAACAATATCGCTTTCGATTTTACAAAAACTACCTACCAAAATTTTGAAAATTCGAATCAAACAGTTACCCTACTGATATTTCATTATAAAATTAATTGGAATACATAAAACAAAATCACGAATAATAATTGATATCTATTCAGAATTACGATAAATAAATTGCATATGTTCTTTCTCAACTACTCTCTTCTGTCAATTTCTATGCAACAAGAATGCAAAGAGAATCAATTCACATAAACCCAGTTGAAAGTTGAGAGTTATGTTATCATTATCAGCCAGGTCGAAATTGAAAATTTATTCGAACTATTTTGTTTCATATTTTTTTATTCAACCTGTCAATGTGTGCCGTGCAAATTGAAGAGCAGTGCATATGGCATTTTATCTGATCTTTCTTAATGTGATCACATTTTTCGAGAAGAGTGATCACAAAGTGAACTTTCTCGATATAACAATAAAACATGAATTTTTCGCCAGTCCAGATCTGGATTTTTTTTTTCATAATATGCCATCTTGAATAGTTTCAATAGAGAAACGTCGTTGCCAAATTTCAGAAAATTACGATGAATCATTTCTGGAACATCGGCTATCAAATTCATGTGACAATTTCACATCAACTCGTCTTGATTCCCTAATTCACCAATTGGCTATGTGAGTCTCCTCATGAATCACCCTGTATACATATATATTCTTGATTTTCAAATTATTATTGTGTGTGTTCAATATATATAATTCAATGTTCGTCGTGGCATATAACCAGGAAAGTAGTTTTTTTCTGTTGGATGAACTACCAACTACCTACCTATCACCTACAGAATGCGAATTCTTAATGCATTTCTTTATATATACAGGATGTTTCTTAATGATATGCTAATATTCTAGGGGCCGATTCTTCGACACATTTCAAGAATGAAACTTCACATGAACGTATGTCGTAAACGTCCTAACTTTTCAGATACAGAGTGTCAATGTTGAAAATATGCATAGATTATTTTTTATCTACCCTGTATAGATTTTTGTGATGGCAAAATTCAGTCTGCTATGTGATTGAATCGGTATACAGATATCAGAATGTTACATACTGTGGTTATCCAGTAATAGATGTCCTGAATGGAGAACTCATACATCAAAATTTGAGGTCTGGTCTGGTTATTCCGTTTTTTATCGAAAACGAAGCGTTCTATCGAGTATCAACAGAAGAATTTTTTCTGTATCTAATTGAATAGCCTTTCATGACATTGTATAACATTTGAAAATTTCATGTCGTTGCTCACTTTCAAGTGAGATATAAACAATAATATTCCGTGTGGTAGAGAAAATGAAAATTTTTATACATCAGAGAATGCACCTTGATGCATAAAAGACGTGTACCAAATTTCATGGAGTTGTATACAATATTGTTTCAGTTATTATCAAAAAACTGAATATTTTTCAATACTTCATCACCCTGTATCTCAAAAGTTGAGACTTTTAGGATATCCGTTCATATGAAGTTTTCGTCTTAAAATAAGTCAAAGAATCACCCCCTCACCTTAACATGTCTTTAAGGAACACCCTGTATACAGGGTGTATGTCTGCTAAAAGGAGGTCAATCCATTAACCATATATTCCTTGAACAAAAACAAAATGAGTTTTTAGATACCATTTTTCATTTAACCCCTCCATATTCGATATACAGGGTGTCAAAGTTGAGAATTAAAAACTGTTTTGTTTTAATTACTCGCGTATTTGATAAGATATCAATCTCAAAATTGGTACATTACTTCAGCACAAAGAGTAACATCGTGTGAAAGACAGAGAATATTCAGTTGGGAATATTCCTGGAAAATTCATACCTGAATATTCCCTAACAATATCCGACTATTCACTTTGGAATATTCCTTTTAGATGTTCCAGAGGATGTATATATTCTAGGAATAATCGATGAATATCCGGAATATACTACTCCTTTTAAGCATATTTAGAGAATATTCTAGGAATATACAGTGCTGTCTGGGAGCAATCCAATATCCAATGTGGATATAGAACATTAATGGTTGACGAGGCTACGCTGGCGTGTCATTCATTGATTCGACTAATACAGAGCTGCATCAGATAAGTAATTCAATAAAACGAAAATTACACGGTGAAAATAATATGATTGGGTAGGTATATACTTGTATACTTGTGTAATTCTGCAATGTCACTAACCCTAAAATTACTCTCAGAAATTATGGTAATGAAGTTGCATTCAAAATTTCTCCATTTTCATGAATTGTCAACACAAAGCAACAACGCCAAGGAGTAAGAATATTTCAACTTCATCGCGCAACTATTTTTCAAACAGTTAAGCACAAACGCTGCATTGGGAACTCACCTTAAGCGTGAGTTATTTTGAGGCACATGGCACATCATTAAAGATTGAAGCGTCTCCGCCCTGCACGATGCTGAAATTGACTTTGGATAGACATATACATTACCATTATTCATATCAGCTATTGTTTTATAGGAAATATGGCGTTATTTACGGTATATGGAAGAAAGCAGCTCCCGACCCAAATCAAGCTACATGATGAAACAGGTTGACATCAACTGGCAGTCGAGAAGCATCCTCATAGATTGGCTCTCTAGCGTCGCTGAAGAGTACAAATTTTGCGACGAAACGTTCCATTTGAGTGTGAATTACATCGATCGTTTCCTCAATCACATTTCTGTGGTGAGTATTATTCAAATCTATACTGGGTGTTTCCGAAAGGTCTGTATACCACAACTCTGGAATAGCTCTGCTATTGAATATTCTGACGACGTTCAAATATAGGTATTTTAGAATATTCTCATAAAATGTTCTCAGAAGGATCATATAATATTCTCATTCTGCAAACAATATCCTATGATCATTCTATTCGACATATTCTCAGAATATTCATTCCAAATATTGTGGGAATATTTTCGAATATCTTGAGTATATGGAGAATATTATAAAAATATATGATGATTATGTTACTATTCTTCTATCCATATTTATAATGTTTACCCTGACACAACCTATTATTCTCCAGCCTCATTGCTGATAATTCTACTAATACAGTGTTGTTATCTTGCTATTCATTTTATTTATCAATAAGGTTCGTGGCGAAGTGGTAATAAGGTTTCAGGTTTGTGAAAATTCAATCAAAAGATAGTAGGTTCGCAATCTCCATCCATCCACGAAACTGAGGAAATCAAGTTAATCGCAACGTGATATATCATTGAATGACGTTTTCAATACCGTTCGAACTAGCTATAGTATATCCATATCTGTCTATTTTTTCATTGAAATGTTGTAAAATGCATTCATTTTTATAACTGCTGTTCTGCGAAAAGTGCCGTATCGCTAGAAATTGAAGTGGGTGTTTATACCCAATTTTAATTTTTCATCTACGGCTATGATTGATTTGACAGGAATTCGAACCTCTAGAATCGTACCTGACAATCAGGGGTTTCTAGGGGAATTTAGAAGACGAAGAGCAGAATATATGTTTTATTCTTTTACATATTCACTCAAACCATTGTAATATAGAAAAGGACAGGAGTTCTGCTAAGTCCGAACTATTTTTTACTAATACCATCCAGTGACTCTGATTCCAGCTACTCCTGATGGGTTATGTAATACATCAATACGTTATCGTGCCTTGGGAATTCTTAAAAAATCATTCAACTTCCTGCTAGCGAATTTACTCCAGTTGAGGTCCTCACACTGTATAATAATATAGTCTGTCTTTGTTCGCAAAATTCATAAGTCGGCCAATGGGTTGCGTGCAAGAACTGTCAGATGACCGACGCTGGAGGCCAAATATTGAAACACAATGTCACTTTTCTTATTTGTTTACAAGTGATCGAAATAGTTTTTCACAATTATTCTGGCATACGAATCGTATTTTTCCGCTATTCATCAATTCGCTCATGCCATCACATTGTGCTGTTGTAAAATGCACAAAAACTGCAGCGGAAGATGAAGGAATCCGGATGGTACATTATGATTTGAAAATAAGTACCTACTATAGTCACTCACCTATAGTTTTCATTCTTGAAATTTGGTAATTTCTCTGATATCTCATCGGAATTCCTTTTACGATAATACACCTGAAATTTTTAAAATAATGCAAGAAGATTGGATTCATGCAATCAATCGGGAGGACTGGTCTGACATGCTGACGATCGTGTGTGTTGTAGACATTTTCAATCTATTAGCAGTAGGTATTAGCTTGTATTGCAGGAGTGGCAGAAGGCAGAAGGAATTTTAAAAGGAATGACAACATTTCATAATGATAACTATGTGAGATTACTATATACCTGAAAAATCATATTCCTTAGTCTCTTGCTGCATTTTTTGTCCATTGTACAACAGCACAATGCGAAGGCATGCTTGAATTGATGAATAGCGCAAAAAAACGATTCGTATGCCAAAATATTGTGAAAAACTATTTCAACCCTTCGATTCCTCTGTAACCAAATGAAAAAGTGAGGTTGTGTTTCAATAATTCACAGAAGAATGAGGTTGTGTTTCAATATTTTGCCTCCAGCGTCGGTGATCGTGCACGCGACCTATATCGACAATGATTATTATATAGGTATTGAATATCTCTGATACGTATTGCCAGTGAATGAATTACCCTGTATGTGTGTGGTAGGGGGTAGATTGATTGTGAATAATTATAGTTTTGTTTGATTTGCGATTTACCTGCATGCTTGCATACTTCGTCTATGAACCTAGCAAGATAAGTGGTAATTAATTTCTGATCCAACGAGTTATGGAAAAATACTATAAGATTATCATGTTTTCAATGATTCATGATTAACATCTCGTTTATTTATAATGATCATCGAGGTTGAAACTGCATCATACACTTGCACTTACTATTTCATTTCCATACGAAAGTTTTGATCCGAACTTAGACTTCAGGTGGTGGACAATGAATTTTTATAACTTGATGTCTTTTTCTTTTTCGAAAACAACGATGAACGACAAATTTCATGTTTCGATAATCATTTAGCGATGAGTTAGAGACAAATTATGGTAATACTGTTAATAAAAAAGGACGAATTCACAGTGGTTCTGCTAGCTTCATATGAACCTAGCAGAAGCAAAGATTTTTTTATGAAGAAGATGAGCAACACATTTTTCGAAGTATTAATTGATCAGCGATAAAATAGGGAACATTTTTGGTAGCATTAGTTTTTCTCCATAGTAAATAGATACCGAGTGGTTCTGCCAATTTCATATAAACCTGACAGAACCATGGATTTTTTTTGAAAACAAAGAGCGACAATTTGATGTTTGGCAGAGTATATGGTAGTAGCAACGATGGAAATAAAGTAGGTGGTGTATAATTACTGATGCGCTTTTGTTTCAGAAATTCTTCTCGGCCTCCCGAGAGTCTCGTGAACAATGTTTTTAGCTGTTTTCGGATAGATAGAGACATTGCACAATTATGACATCTGTCAATTATTATTGCCGCAGATTTTTCGAATTCAGAGTTGAATAATTCCACTGTTACATATGTTCCGCGAACCATCTTATTTCCACTTGTCTCAGCAGCAATAGCAGCATCATCATCTAGTAAAAATGTTTTCAATACGTGAAAATGGCCAACTACGCGCACCATCTACTTATTTCCATCATTGTAGTACCTATCATTCTACAGATTGGGTTAAATTTCAATTGATTCAGTGGCATGAACTGATATTAATTAGGATGATTAATAAACGCATATTCCAAGAACCAATTAGATTTCTTCAATTTCGTGAAACCGACCAATCACCAGGCATTTGTAGTGATAAAAAAGCCACCTTGCTTTCCCAATAACCGATAGAAGAGTGAAATGTGTCAGTTCGTTCAAAACGAAAGAATATCACTTATAATTACACAAGAGCTTTTTCTATCTCGAAGTAAAATCACCATTAGGCAACAAGATTCGAATTATAAATGTCAAGTCTTGATTAGATTTGACAATTCAATTCATCAAACATTTGTTCTGCAACCGACCGATTTCGATACCAAAATTAGCTCTTGAACTGACGTTTCTATTACTGACACAAAAATAGGTATGTTACTAGGCAACATATTCAGTTCCTAGGAGCTAAAAATGAACTTTAGTTCCTAGGAGCTGATGTTCAACTTTCAATTCGACTAAAAAGGATGTACTAGACGTCATCAAGAACAAACAACATTGTTACGGTTGGTTTTTTGGGTTGGGAGTGTTGGGACGCATACCTGATTTGTTTCCGATTTCGGCAGATTTGAAATACATCCGAGATAATTTTTTATAAGATAAATACATCACAAATTGCATTCAAATTTTATTGTCATCAGGCAAAAAAATCTTGAATCAAGGGAAGTAGAAAAAAACATTTCATTCACTCCCTAGATTCTCGATTGCTTGCCATGACAATAAAATTTTCATACAATTAAACATGTATTTATCGATAAAAGAATTATCTATTATTCATTCACCCCCGATAATAGCTGCACTACTAAGAGATAGGAGATGTTGATTCAGTGGATTCGTGTACTTGAGAGTTATTGCAGGTTATTAATATTTTCTTCGACCTGAAAAGTTGACGATGAACTTGAAAAACTGGCGAAGGCACCAAAACGTAACGGACTTTAAAAAATGGTGAAAGTTAAAAGTATCTGGCGTTTTAATTTTTGGCGGACGAGAAAGCGAGTCCGGCAATTACTTTATAACCAAATAGAAGATATTGGCCACGTATATACCGTGTCTTGACTAGCTGACTAATGACCTTGATTATATACACCTAATGACTATATTTTAGCTAAATACTCTTGATTAGTGTGGTATAAAACTATCCACTTGGTGAAGTTACCAACTTGGTTTGGCACCGAAATTTGTTGCGTATACCAGGCTAAAATAGTATGATGACCAAGACGGTGTAAACACTCTGGTCTTCTTTTGTACATCCTTGGCTTCAGTTGAGTGCCATCTCTTATCGAGTTTTCTTTCAGGCAGATCGCTTCACGTGGTAGTGGACGGTGTATCGTCTGATACCATTGGCATCAATTCCGGCGTTCCACAAGGATCAATTTTGGCACCAACATTATTCCTGCTTCATATCAATGATCTGTTGGGAGTAACAACTTGCCCCATCCACAGCTTTGCAGATGATAGTACCCTCCATACTGCTTTCTCTTCCAGAATTCCCATTTCTTCCCAGGAAACTAAGACCTCACGGCGCAGGCAGGTCAATGCTGTGAATGAAGATCTTGCTGAAATCACAGCCTGGGGAACAAACAACCTAGTTGAATTCAACGCCACCAAAACTCAAGCCTGCATTTTCTCTAGAAAGGCGGAACTCAGTATGCCCGATATTGTAATGTCTGGCTCCACCATCCCCACCAAGCCCACCATATCCATGCTCGGTATTTCCATCAGCAACACTCTTTCATGGGATAATCATGTCAGATCCATCGCAAAAGCTGCTTCCCAAAAACTCGGATTCTTGTTCCGTGCGAAAAACTACTTTACACCTCAACAGCTTCTCATGATCTACAAAGCGCAGATACGGCCTGTTCTAGAATACTGTTCCCACATATGGGGTTCAGCACCAAAACATACGCTGATGCTCTTAGATTCCATCCAGAGAAGAGCCATTCACCTGGTGGGTGACGCCACACTCACTCACTCTTTGGCATCATTAGAACACCGTAGAAAGGTCGGCGACCTTTCACTTTTCTATCGATACTTCCACGGGAAATGTTCTTCGGAAATCTCTGCTATCATCCCTTCACTAGCAATACCAATCAGACGAACTAGACAAGCCCAGTCAGCACATCCTTTCGTTGTCCACCTCGAAAGATGTCGAACAGCACTTTATCAAGACTCCTTCATCCATAGAACGGCTAGGCTCTGGAATTCATTGCCTGTGGAAGTGTTCCCAACAACATATAATCTCCAAAAGTTCAAAAAAAATTCCAATACCTACCTCCTGTCCCTATCCTCCCTAGGAACGCACGATGTTCTTTGAACATTATAGGGATTCCCTCTCGTGCGCTCCAAGCGATAAAAAAAAAAAAAAGTGCCAGTGTCAGTTGTTTTATGATTCTGCAAAACAATATTTCATCAAATTTTAGCTAATTTTGAAACTTGTCAAATGGTATTTCCAATTATTTACATAATCAGGTGAAGTTAAACAACCTAACCCCCAAATTATAATCGAATGGAAACAAAGTTGGTAACGTTAGTCAACTAGTGATAGATGGTGTAAATGCGTTAACTGAGGTATCTGGTCTGAATTTGGTCAGATCACCTTGGTAAGCATACCAAATATCCATACGGTATGAACGTGGCAATTATTATTTCGCTTTCTTGTTTTTTCTCCGAACATCCAAGATTGGAATACCTACAATCTACTGAAGATTCTGAATGAAAACCACGGGGTAAAAAGTGGGAATGTCACAATATATTGAAAATTGACTTGACACCGCCATCTGATAGCCTAACTATACTATATATTGGTATAAACAAAAGTCCATAACAATAACGCAGCATATATTTATGCTAGTTCAACAATACATTGACATGGAAAAAGCGCGGGATGTCCACTTCAAAAATGTGAAGAAAGGGGAACGTCCAAGCTTAGTGCTTGAATACAAATTTCGTTGTGATTTCAATAGGTTATTTTACACTATCAAAAGGTCGAAGTAAACTCTCAGGCGAACGAAGAATGAGAAGAAGAAGAGATACGGACACCTTTGTTTTCATCTTTCGGAGCGCACGAAAGGGAATCCCTATAATGTGCGGGGGACATCGTGGGTACCTGGAGGATAGGGAAAGGAGGTAGTTATTGGGATTTCTTCAACTTTTGGAGGTTATAAATTTTTGGGAATACTCTGTTTGGCGAAGAATTCCAAAGATTTGCGGGTTTATGTATAAAAGAGTTGTTCGACATATTTAGAGGTTGACGACAAAAAGGTGTGCTAACTGGGTTTGTCGAGTACGTCTGAGTGATGATAATAAAATAATGAGATTGCCACATGATGATTCCTACTCATATCGCGTGGAATTTATGAAAATAATCAAATTATAGAGATGCTAGATTTACTTTACAGGGTGGCCCACTTATGCTCGCTCGGACCATAGCTGCTAGGATGATAGGGATGGAAAAAAATTCATCGGAAGTTATTGGAGACTTCATAAGCTACTCTTCGAATTATTTTCTAGTATACAGGGTGCACCATGAATCCGGGGAATCATATTCAATAGAAGTGATCTTGTGTCTAGTGACCCCTGTGTATGCGGCTATAATTTCAAGTTATGGACCTTGTTGTCTCATTCACATTCGTTTCTGAATCGAGTTTCTAGCTATCATAGAACTCGAGCAAGTCCCTCCCTGTATATATCTTTTCCGTAGAAGACTGATTACCTAGCTCAGTAAAATATTCCATATTGCCCCATTCAGGTACATCAGAAATTCCAACTTGTCGGCGCAGCGGCCATGATGGTAGCCACTAAGATGGAGGAATATGCAAGCCGATCGACTCGCAAACACACCTCGAGCTGATATTTATTACTCCTTCCTCTTGTATAATGAATATCTCTCTTACGTGGATGACTGATAACCTAGCCCAGTAAAAATATTCCATATTGTCCCAAGCGGCCATGATGATAGCCAAGAAGATGAAGGAATATACAAGCCGATCGACTTGCGAATACACCTTGAGTTGATATCTATTACTCTTGGCTTTTGTATAATAAATATCTCTCTTCTGTGGGAGACTAATCACCTAGCTCAGTGGAAATATTTCATATTCTCCCATCCAGGTACGTTCAAAATTCCAACTCGTAGGTACAGCGGCCATGATGGTAGCCACGAAGATGAAGGACTATACAAGCTGATCGACTCGCGAACACACCTCGAGTTGATAACTAGTACTCTTTGCTCTTGTTTAATAAATATCTCCCTTCCGTGGGAGACTGATCATCTAGCTCAGTGGAAATATTTCATATTGTCTCATTCAGGTACGTCAGAAATTCCAACTCGTGGGTACAGCGGCCATGATGGTAGCCACGAAGATGAAGGGTGTCGCGTCAATTGGACGTGGAAAATTGGACGCACGACTATTGGTCGCAGTCAATTGGACGCGGCGACAATTGGACGCGGCGACAATTGGACGCGGCGACAATTAGACGCGGTGTCAATTAGACGCGGTGTCAATTAGACGCGGCGTCAATTAGACGCGGCGACAATTCGACGCGGCAACAATTGGACGCATGCGTAAATAAAAATAATTTTATAATTCCAATGAAATTCATTGTATAAAATATGAAATACTGATGGGCTTATATCCATAATTATAACAAATACCTATGGCCTCGTTTGACAATTATTTTCCTATCTCATATCGTAATATGAATTTACGATACGAATATAGTACAATATTTTACCTACTACCAAAAACGCTGATTATTTAATCAAATATGAGGGTTGGGCGTATACATACTTGTCGTGAATCTATTGTGTACTCGGTTGTCACTCATTTTTTGAACTGTCAACTTTGACGCGTTCATTTCAATTTTCATGAGTGAGAAGACTACTTTAGTGTCAACATGGTTCTTGAGTTAGGTTAGGTTAGGTTAGGTTAGGTATTTGTTATATTATAGATATGAGCCCTGCATATTCCATGCGATAAATTTCATTGGAATTATAAAATTATTTTTATTCGTCCAATTGTCGCCGCGTCCAATTGTCGCCGCGTCCAATTTTCGTGCGTCCAATTGACCACGTCCAATTGTCGGTAATCCAGATGAAGGAATATGCAAGCCGATCGACTCGCGAACACACCTCCAGCTGATATCTATTACTCTTTGCGCTTGTATAATGAATAGCTCTCTTTCGTGGAAGAATGATAGCCTGATCCAGTAGAAATATTCCATATTGTCCCAAGCGGCCATGATGGTAGCCAAGAAGATGAAGGAATATACAAGCTGATCGACTCGCGAACACACCTCGAGTTGATAACTGATACTCTTTGCATGCTCTTGTTTAATAAATATCTTCCTTCCGTGGAAGACTGATCATCTAGCTCAGTGAAAATATTTCATATTGTCCCATTCAGGTACGTCAGAAATTTCAACTCGTCAGTACAGCGGCCATGATGGTAGCCACGAAGATGAAGGACTATACAAGCTGATCGACTCGCGAACACACCTCGAGTTGATAACTAGTACTCTTTGCCCTTGTATAATGAATATCTCTCTTTCGTTGAAGACTGATTACCTAGATCAGTAAAATATTCCATATTGCCCCATTCAGGTACGTCAGAAATTCCAACTTGTCGGCGCAGCGGCCATGATGGTAGCCACTAAGATGGAGGAATACCAGCCGATCGATTCGCGGGAATGGTCTTACCTTACGGGGGACACCTTCTCCCCGAAACAGGTGCTCAAGATGGAGCAGCTCATCCTCAAGGTGCTGAACTACAAGATGCACGCGCCGACCATACACGGGTTCATACAGCAACTCTCCACCGACTATGGGATAGACGAGAAGACTTTGCATTTGGCCATGGTGAGTGAAATTTTACAGTTTTTCACATATTATCGTGAACAAGGTTGAGGGGAAGGTTGTCTCGATTAGAGAAGACGGTGAGGGAAAGTGGTAATTTGTGACATAATCCCTTGGAATATTTCATTGCATCGACAACATATTTGTTTTGAGCTCTGCGATAAATCTGCATTTGAGGTTGAGAAAACGTTAAATATTTGTGGCTTTTGTTGACTATAAGAGAGCATTTGATTCAATTTGTCACACCCTGCTTTGGCAAAAATTTCGGGGTAAGCGGTAGACTTGTATCATTAATAAAAAAACTTTATGAGAACGCTACTATGGAGGTACTAGCTGCAGATGGATCTACTCGTGCCCTAGATATTACAACAGGAGTACTACAAGGTGAAACTCTCAGCCCACTGCTTTTCTCTCTATTTCTCTCAGATATCGAACAGTATTTTTTTAACAGGGGTGCTAAAGGAATCAACATCGATAATAAAAAAGAACTGTTGATGCTGCTCTATGCAGACGATCTCGCCATTCTGGCAGACAGTGAGATCGACCTCCAACGTAAGCTGAACATTCTCGAAGCATATAGTGACCATAACGAGCTGACTGTCAATGTGAATAAAACTAAAATAATGATGTTTCCGAGAGGACCCCTTTGTGCAGTAAATCACAAATTTTTCTATAAAAATTGTCCAGTTGAAATTATGAAGTCCTTCGTATACCTTGGGGTCACCTTTTCAAGCTCCTCGCTTTTCCTGGAAATGGGACAATGCATTAGAGACAAAGATAAACAAGCTATTGATTCTGTTTGCGCGGTTATGGCTAGGGCAAAATTGAGTACATGGTTGACACGTGTCCATTTATTCGATTCACTGCTTAGCAGCATTGTCACCAACTGCATTCAAGCATGGGGACTACGATACCCAAATATTCTAGAAAGAGTACAACTTACCTTTTTCAAGAGGGTTCTATCGCTCTCAAAAAATACTGCTGATTTTGCTGTTCGGTTGGAATCAGGAAGAGTTGAATTCTCCTACTATATATTCAAACACTCCCTGAACTGGGTCATCAAAATGCTCGAAATGGAGAACTCTCGTCTGCCGAAAATATGTTTCTTGCGCCAGATTGATTTGATGAATAATGAAAATACAAAATACAATTAGGCGAGTCAATTCAAAAAATACCTCGATTTTGCCGAATTTACGGGACAACTCGAAGCAGCATCTTGTTCTACCACACTAAAACGAAATAAAAAAATGTTACTTGAAACTTATAGGAATAAACTACAAAAAGCAGATCTGAATCTGTTATCTCGGACCTCCTACCTCACTATTTACAAATTCCTAAAAATTGAACTTGGTTTTCAAGATTATCTACAAGCCGGAATCCCTATCCATATTACCCGAGTAATTGCACAACTTCGACTCTGCAATGACTTTATCATTAAATTCAATTTCAAAGGATTCACATACACCATTTTACCAAGATAAATTTGTACTGCTTGTAACCAAAACACCTTTGAAACTATTAACCACATTCTATTCGACTGCCCCTTATACTGCTCCTAGTCTAAGATCCGAACCTAAATCGACCTTCACCGAGCTGATAATAGAACGAAATATATTTTATCATGAATTTAGTATATTAGAAAACATATTAAAAATGGGTTGGCTAAAAAAATCCTGGGCGGACTATTTTTAATTATCTTTCGAAAAATGATTTTTAATTAAATGTTGCAACATCAGGATAATGAAAAAAAATTGTCCTGACTGAAAGTATAAAAGGTATAGAATGTGCAGCCGTTGGGTTGTCTACTATTTACCTGGGCGAACTACTGGGTTGTCAGGTAAACACAGGTATATCGATGCCAGTTACTTTCACTGGATTGGATAATTAAAAAAAAATTATATCATCATAAGCGCTGTTTAATTGCGAACACGTTGATATAGGGTTGTCTGCGAAAATTCCGGTCCTATTAGGGGTTTGCGAATTTTAAAGATTTTAATTTCAACGCGCGTGGAAGTGTGTGACAGAGAGATCCGAGTTAAGTATACTGTGTAATAATAAAGGACCCAACATCGCAGTCGCTTGTGATGGGACCCTGAATAGTAGAAAGTGTGCGAAGTGTGCGAAGTCAAATCCTGAAAACTATGGTTGGCATTTTGATGATTTATTAAAACCAACAGGTTTTATCGGAGATCAAACTCCTTTGAAAATCCAGGACATTGTCGAAATGGAAGCAAATGAGGAAGAATCTAATGAATCAGACGAATTCGAGAGTCAAAATGATACTTCTGATGAATCAGATATTGAATAGAAAATATTTATTAGAATTTAATTTTCATTAATATTATTTTTGTATTTATACTGTTTTTTAATAAAATTTTGAATCGTTATACAAGATGTCTAGTCTATCTTTTTTATTATTTCTTAATTTAAATTTTTGGCGGTCCACTTTGTTTCTATTTCCAGAGAGAGCAAAAAAATTTCAAAGTAAGTAATTGATATTTTTATTGTCTATTATAGATTATAGATATATTATTATGGTTATAACGCAATATATTGATATTATATTGTTTTTATATATTAGTATTATAATAAATATATTTAATTATTATGTAATTATTTAATTATTTTTTTTTGCTACTGAAATATCAGTTGCTCCAAAATAACACGCACTGTTTACTATATGAAGGGTAGTAGAGGTACCTCTACCCTCCATAGTTTACACACCGTGCATGCGCACTTTCTACTATTCAGGGTCCCATCACAAGCGACTGCGATGGTGGGTCCTTTATTATTACACAGTATACTTACCTCGGATCTCTCTGTCACACACTTCCACGCGCGTTGAAATTGAAATCTTTAAAATTCGCAAACCCCTAATAGGACCGGAATTTTCGCAGACAACCCTATATCAACGTGTTCGCAATTAAACAGCGCTTATGATGATATAATTTTTTTTTAATTATCCAATCCAGTGAAAGTAACTGGCATCGATATACCTGTGTTTACCTGACAACCCAGTAGTTCGCCCAGGTAAATAGTAGACAACCCAACGGCTGCACATTCTATACGTTTTATACTTTCAGTCAGGACAATTTTTTGTTATTATCCTGATGTTGCAACATTTAATTAAAAATCATTTTTCGAAAGATAATTAAAAATAGTCCGCCCAGGATTTTTTTAGCCAACCCATTTTTAATATGTTTTCTAATATACTAAATTCATGATAAAATATATTTCGTTCTATTATCAGCTCGGTGAAGGTCGATTTAGGTTCGGATCTTCTACTATCCATCAAACCACCAAATACCCCATTCCTGACCGATTCAAATCAACTTATTCATTCCCTCGATAATATGACGCCCTCCATTGCTAAGTCGATATACACTCATATATGGAATATACTGAAATTACGCTCCTTCATAATAAATGAATAGGCCGTTACCTACCTGATATCAGAATATATATAATATATAATTATTTCTATTGGTTCTCTTTATATCCTACACTTTTCTTATTACATAATTTGTATTATACTCTTAGTGTACCAATCGCCAGATATAGTTTGTAAGCAATACATTTTAACACTCTATTGTATGTACTCACTGATGTATCAAACTTTGGTGTTACTAACAACAATTGTACTACAAATTTTATAAACTTCTAATTCAATTGCCACTTATTATGCAAATATAACTAAACCCTTGTTATGAAACTGTAAGTTCAAGAAACAATAAATTATTGATTGATTGATTGATTGATAGCGGAGTCATGGAAATCCATGTTCTACAACTGTCTCAATAGACCAGGGTCGATTATTTTTGAAACCGAGAAAAATTATGGTAGAATAACACCCATTCAAAAGAAAAGAGTATGTAAAAATGAAAGAACAAAACTGAAACGGGGTTAGTATTTAAGAGTGAAAGATAATGACCACATGGCGTAGACAAGAATTGAAATTGGGAGCAAAGAATACATTTCAGAATTATGAAAAATGAATTAGAGGAAATGAACCTCTTTCCAGGCCTGAAGTATGAGCCTATAGTGAAAAAGTGAAAGAAAATATTTCCACTGAAGACTTGAGAGTCCTAACGTTAGTGAGTAGCGTTCAAGCTGAAAGTTAAAGAAAATACCCTCGTAGTCGAATGCTTTATAGGAAAAATTCATACTAGGAGAATATTGCACAACCTAGGGCGCCGACCGGATTGAAGTTCTGAATGTGGGCCGGATTTTGATTGCAATTCTGTTTTGTTGAGTGAAATTTGAAGAGCAGGACTTCTGATAATTCGAACTTGAAAGTCTTATAGTTCGAGCCACAGGAGCAAGGAAGTCCAACTAGAGTTGTATGTTCCGAATAGGCTGACATCAGTCTCTTTGGAACTCTTGATTCTGGGATGGAAATCTTCTCTTTCAGTCTTCCAATTTCAGACTCTCTCGATATATCACGAGGTTCACGTAGAAAGAATGTGCTGACTGATGGAGTAGGTACGTACAGTCGTCTTCAGAGAACATGTCGCACATGAACGGTGTCAGCTTTCTTGATCACTGCTGCAGTTAAAGCGCTCATACCGTCCAACCGCGACATGTTCACTGAAGACGAGTGTACCTACTAAATAGATTTTCCGTGGAAGTTTCATCAAAATAGTGGAAGGTCGCTGGTCGAGGAATAGTAGGAGAGCCGGCTACAGATTTCTACCGTCATCTGATATAGTTTTAATTATAATATAGGAAGATGAGAATTGTGTACATCATGAAGAATGGCTGAAAGGATAACTGGAATTCTGGTTACTGATGAGGATTTGATATCCGGAATGAATTTATTCGAGTGAAGTCATATAACCTGTTTGTGAGGGATGTAACTCCCATATCACTAATACGGATGATTATTTTGGAAGTTCCAAGCTCATCGAGATCAGAGTTTATACAAGTATTATCCTCATATACACTTCAATTTTCATTTCAATACTGAACATTTTGGTAAGTTATATTTCCATATCATGATAAAT